TAATTAGAAACAAGGCTGTTTTATTCCAGCTAAAGTGATGATGCAGCAGGAAATGCACCCTACTAGGATTCACATTTTATGTTCTGGATAAAGTGAATTCACGAGAGACCTTCTGCTTTCTTTGAAGTCGTCTGGCTACTGGCTCAGACTTTGAAATAAATAAATGGATAACATAAGGGGGAAAGAAACTTTTAAAGATATTCCCTCAGAATCAATTCCTGGTTGACAGTCAGAATTGCAGCTTTAAAGCCTGTTTAGGTCAGTGCGGAGACATGTGACATAAGAAACTTGCTCATTAAGTTTTACTCAATTCTTTAAGTAAAATCACAAGAGGTGAAGTTTAATCTCTGGATATGCTGTAGTTAGAGTGAAGTTAAAGTAAATTCAAACTGAAACGCTTTTAAATAAATACTCCTGTCAGAGGATACAGCAAAAGACATTTGACAGGTAAGAAAAAGATATGTGCATAATGCTTTTAACAGATCTCTTTTCCATTTGTGAATTTTTATTCAGACACCAGTGTTCGGATATTGAAATATGCCTTTTGATCTCTTTGCATCATTCCATACCTGTTGAGGATGATATTAAATGTATTCTGAATATGTTACCTTTTTTATTTAGTTTTATGACAGAATAAGTTACTGATCAAATTTAGAATAAAGTCTTTAGTATTCAGGCACCAAATCCTTTTCCCAAGTATTCTGTCCAACACTGGCAGTATCCTGCCATTGTGATATCCGTAGGGGCTGTTGACAAACATGAAAGCAAGCAGCATGTGTCTATTTTCCAGAGGAAACTCAATTCCTGTCCTGCAGTGACACAGATGAGAAGGGCATCAAAGCATGTGCGGTATGCAAAATGACTGCCAATGCTATATTTCACTTAGGTAGCGTGGTTAACTCTGGTTCAGGAGGAGAGGACACACCAGATACTGACTGAGTTGCAGAACAACAAGTCATGCCAAGCTGTGCTAGCTGACAGCAGCTATATAGCCTACAACACCCATCGCATCTTGATGCACTGATTTCATTCAATTAAAGGACCCTCATGCTCATATTTTGAGAGGCTTTTTCTCCCTGCTGCTGTGGACTGCTGTGCAGCGTAAACATGTATATTGTATCCATCAGGACATTGTTTATCAGAGGAATGGCCACAAATAGATTCCACTTGATGGTATGTCGCACTTAACCGGCGCAGGGGGGAAATGGCCACATGATGGCCCACGCATAGAAAATTCCATGTGATGTTAGAGTGACCTTGCACTATCCTTCATGCATGGTTTAGATTTGGGATATCCGCAAAGCCACATGTGGATATCCTGGAAAATGTAAAGCCGGGGCAGCTTCTGTGGGCTAGTTTATCGTCAATAGAGACACAGTCAACAAAAATCAAATCAAATTTGTATAGAAATTTACAGCCTGCATGATTCAAATTTGACTACTCTGTCAGGCAATCCATTTACATCCATAATCAAGTGAAATGTTTCGTAAAATAAAGTACTCTCAGTGAATTTGCTCACATGTCTGACAGCAGCATGACTAATACATACTCAGATCAGTACTCAGCATGAGGACATCCGCTGAAGGAAGTAGATGCACTGGTGTGCCTCTAGAGATTAAGCTTTAAGTTGTATGTTTGTAAGGAGTGATATGTTTACATCCTCAATGCTGTCATTATACATCAGTATTGTACATGGGGTCATTCATTGGCAATGAACCTGTTTGTATGAGGGGTCTGACTGAAATGCCTTTAGAAATAGTGGTGCTGCCATACAGATAGTTACAGCAACAAGTGGATGGTATGAAGATATAACACCCTGCAAGAGGTGTAAAGTTTTCCTACTCAAGCAATATACCTAAGGTGCTTCTATTGTGGGAAACTTTATATCATATATCATAAGGAAATTATACATTTGACAACACTACTGTATCTGTATTCTGTTACTCACTACCTGCAGATAGCATCATGATCATCTCATAAGATATGATGCATTGTTATATCTAGAATAGTTGTTTATTTCCATGTACACCAGATAATACATTAAAACGCTGTTCACATTTTAATTTGTCAATACTTTATACTTTGAAAGTGTCCAGTTTTGAGAAATTAGTATTTCTATTTTTAATGGTTGAATCGTGTCGGCCACCTGGGGCCTTTCTGTGTGGAGTGTAGATGTTCTCCTCATGCCCCCGTGGGTTTTCTGCAGGTACTCCAGTTTCCTCCCACAACCCAAACACGTGCAGGTTAGGTTAACTGGCAACTCTAAATTGCCCATAGGTTTGAATGTGAACATGAATGGCTGTTATCAGTCTGCCGTGTGACTCTAACTCCAACTAAAAGATTTTGGAATATAGTGAATGGAAGCCAGTACAAGGGAGATATGGTCTCTCTTCTTGGTACCAGTGAGGAGTCCTGCTGCTGCATGTTGAACTGTGGGGAAGAAAGAGTGACTCCCAAGTGGAAGTATAAAAGAATCAAAGATGGTCTCCAGTTCTCCAAATGAATGAAAAAGTTTTATTTTTACTATCGGCCTAACGCAGCTGAAAAATGACTAATGACAGAATTTATTTGTCTGTCAGATTTTTACGCCAATGTCAAAAAATGACACCCAAATTTGTGGCATGTGTACGGAGTATTTGAAGACGGAGGCCAGAGAGAATTGGCTTTACCACTGGAGGACATTTCAAGTGACAGGAAAGCTTAGCAGTAGTGACAATGATGTTCATTTATTTATTTATTTTTTGGGTGTTATTCCTGGTTCCCACACAGAGGTTGTTGTGCTGCAAATTTAATTCCCATTTGTGTCATGGGTTGTAGTTGTGTGACAGACGTTACATTGTGAAATGGATGATGTCACTGAAGAAGATGGAAAGATGAACTGATAGACATCCCTAAACACAGCTAGAATTTGGTATTCTTCACACATGGTATATGTATTGTCCATGAATTTGTGGCTACACTGGCTTTATGCCTGATGAAAACCTGTGAGGGTACTTCAAATGAGGTTTTAATTCATCTGCCTGAATACATAAGGTTAAAGGAGGGGGGGAAAAATGAAAAGACTGAAGTGCATTTACAGGTAAAGCTCACAGCATGGCTTGTAGTGCAGCATCTTTATTTAGGAAGAAGTCTCTTCTCTGTGTCAGGTGCTGAAATGCCCTTGTCACATTAAGTGGCAGCTCTCAGGACACTTAACATTCCTCCCCACCCCCCTCGGCAGATGCAGTGTGTTTTTAATGACATTGTCTGCTTCCTGTCAAGTCAGCTGGGGGCTGATACGAGGAAAGTCACCTGTGGAAGGACGGCGGGAAGAAAGATTCTTGAAGGGCAGCACAGGAACTCTGGCTGGCTTTTGACTTGAGTGCTACATTAACTGGAAAGGGGAATCAAGGCTGAGGCACACTGCACTGCACTGCACTGTACAGGAGCTTAACCATATGAATCTGGCACTGTGCATTCCTCCGTTTGTGTATGTTTTCTCTAGCATTAGCTTAGTGTTCTTTTAACTGGGCTCATAGGAATTATTCCATCGCATGATTGAATGGTTTATGAAAATGTCCAAAGGGAAATATAAAAATCTTTTCATCTTAGATATAAAAGGAGAAAATGTTCAGAAAGGAAGGTACTTAACTAGAAAATTGGCAAGAAAGACAGCAAGGCTTGGGGTTGAGTAGCATGTGTGTGCCACTGCGTGTGTGGCTGCATGCATAGACACCTGCACAGAGTGCCTTCTTCACAATTCAGGTGTGCTTTGCTTGCTTAAACTCTGGTCAGCTTAATCTTCAATTCAAATGAATCTGCTCCCCTCAGGCACTTGTCTCACCTCTTTCTGTCATTTCGTTTTCTCTTTAATTTCCTCTTGCTGGTCATTTTTCACACAGAATTTTCCACAGGAAAATGCCTGCCAAGGTAGGGCAGAAATCTGGGCAGGAGGGATGACAAGATGAGAGGGGAGCTGGTGGTGAGAATCCCCTATATAAAAGAGCTGACACGTCCACCTCTATCTGGAGTGAATGCATGCTTTCCCACACGCCAGTGACCACATGTGGGTACTAATGATTTAAGGCTGCACTGAGATAGTGCCTCTTGGTGGTAAAACTATAGAACTGTGTTCTTAGATAAAGTTGTTGAGAAAATTGAGAGTGACGTGACATGTTCAGTATTCATTAATGTGGAGCCTGGGCCCCACTTGTTTGATTTGACTGAACAGAGCTTTACATGGGCAATGTTGAAATTATTGGCTGCCTTTTGACAGCAGATGCCAATTTCATTTTGTTTCAGGGTATTTTTGTTCTCAATTTGAGAAAATAAAACACCTCCTCAGTTTAAAAGAAAAGGCTGGGTGGCTCATTCAGCCAGTTGTGCACATTAAACTGTTTTGCTCTACAAAATCTGAGCTGCCTTGGCTATATGCTGTACAATATATATGGCATGCAGTATATTAAAAGTTGTACGATTCCTGCATTATTGTTCCCCCGTTATGGATGTAAACATCCTTAAATCTGAAATAATAACAAAAATTTTTTTTGATTTGTTTTGTTTTGTTTGTTTTGTTGTTTGTTGTTTTTTTGCCACTTGGGGGCAGTGGAAACAAGCTGTAAACCTAACACTGACATATTGATATCTTTAAGATGATATTGTGAACTTGTTTGCAAACACGGAGCAAGTTTTTCAGCAATGTTTGAGTCCACATGATATGAATGTAAGATGACCACACACTGTCTTTTAGCTCAGGTTTTGCTCTCTAATTCTATAAAGCTCTTTAGCAGCTCAATGATCCACTATGTTCACTAGCTAGTCTGTAACTTTATCTGAATCTGTTAAAATACATTTAACATTCAGAACATTTTTGGGCTCAAAGGCAAAACTCTTGGGACAGGCAGGTAAAAATCAAAAAGCTTTTTACTTAGATTAGGGCATAGTCGGTAACAGGCAGGCAGTAAGACAAGGCACATGAATCAGGCAAGCAAAAACAGGCACATGAATTGAATAACCTTGAATTACGATGTTTAGCATGGTAGCCAGAGATCCTTTAATTTGTACATTAATTTGAATGGGCAAAACCCAAGCCCCTTAAAACACCATCATTCATAAACAAATGAAGTACAATTTAAGGGGTAAGTAATCTCTTAACTATCAATTTAAGATGCGGTCACTGCAGTTAATAATAGGGTAGATCTGTGCATCATCAGCATAATAGTGAAAGCTATGTAACCTAAAAAGTATCTAAAAGGAGTACATACAGACAGATTTAAAGGGAACCTTTAAAAAGCAGCTGTATTCTTTATGTGTGCATTTGTTGCATGGAAACCTAAAGGCCTGTGGAACAGGTACCACATGGGATCCTATTACTGAGTTTGAAAACAGCAGTCATTACAAACCATGTACAGCATTTAAAAGAAGCAATAACATTCTTATTCAGTACTTCGGTTGAGATGCCAGTGACCTCCTTTCTTCCTCTGTTATTTCCACACTGGCTGGAATGAGGCCTATAGTACGAGACAAGAAATATTAACAGATATGCTTGATGAAATCTCGTCCATCAATCTAGAAGATATCAGATTTTATGTGTTCACAACAAGAATTGCTCTCAGCAGCTCTGTGGTGTTAATCTCTCTGATCTTTTTCCATCCTGACAAGGTTCAGCATCGACAAACAGGAATTTAAAATTGATACTGAAGGGACAGAAAAGTCATGCTGATGAGGAGTAGGCCTTCAGTAACGTGAGGAGTGTAACTGATGAAAGGAACCTTAGCTCGCTCACGATTTCACACTGTTTCACTGGATCAGAGATAACAGTGGCACATAGTCAGGCACAATTTAACAGCATGTTCTGGGAGAGAATGTAAAACTCTCAAGTGTTGTTCTGCCAAGTAACGACTCCTTCACCTTTTCAGGTGCTTCGTTTTTTCTGCAAAAGGTGTCATCCGTTTTTCATAAGAGAATGTGTGTTTGGATGTATGAGGATTATAATTAGACATTTAACCCACAGGAGATATTTTAAAGCTTCTTGGATCATTCTCCATATAACCTAGAATATTGAATCCCAGGAAGAGGAATGTACAGTTTAGATCAAAGATGTAGATTGTGATTGTAGAGCATCAGAAATGCACCAAAACTGTAGCAAGTGATTAGATATTACTACTTTTGAGCTGTCTTGGTGCTTACTCATCACAGCCAATCAGGTGTGTAATCAGTGAAATCTCACCATATGTTAAGTTCAGGATTAAGCTGGTGGAAAAAAAATTGATTTGGGCAGAGAAAACTTAAAAGGATATTATCCACTGAGCTCAAGATGTTGGGGTAGATGGGGATTAATGTCTGCAGCTAGAGGTGGAAGCAAAACATGAAGTTTTCCTTACATACTCATACCAACCGTATGTCCATGTGATAGAGTAGATGCCTTATGGTTTAGAGTTGTACTGAGTCAGTGGACAGAAAAGGAACTGGCAACAATTTTTATTTCAAGGATTTAAGTCGTTAATCAAGCAAAAATGCCAAACATTTGTGAGGATTTGCTCCTTTTCTCTGTTTATCACTCTACAACAAATTGGATGTCTGTGGGTTTCGGAATTTGATTGAACAAAACAATCTGTGGGAACTTCTAATGGGCATTTTCATTCTTTTCTGACGTTTCAGAAGCTAATTAATACAATAATCAGTTAACTGGAAAAATAATCAGCAGGTTGATTGATAACGGAAATTAAATTGTTGCCCTGGTTAGGAGCCCTTATGGATTTGTTGTTGTTTTTAGTCTACAGTATGACTTTTAGTCTAAAATTTCAATACAAAACTGGCCAAATCTCAGAGACCATATATCCCAAAGCCACCAAATTTAATGCACAAGTTTAAATTCACATCCACTCCTCTGCCTTCTAAAAATCAAACATCCAGATTGAAGTATATCTACTTCTGCTTGCTATTCAAGCAATTTTGGGTTTCAGCTACCTGGACAATACAATGAACATATTTCAAAGAATTGTTTTTCCCTCTCAAATTCTGTGCTTATTTTTTATGCTTAAAGCTTGAGTTACCAAACTACCCACACCTGATTGTTCTCTTTTATGGTGCTATCAGGCAGGCTAAATGTTTCTAAATTCGTATTTCTTGCGACTACACATAAAATACACAAATGGAGTGGACAACAGGGATGCAAAACCATAAACATTTAATCTCGAAGCAGTAAAATTTGAGTTTCAAGCAGAGAACACAGAAGAGCTGAGGAGGAACAGAAAGGGAGAGATCGAGTGAAATATGTTTTTGCTGTTCCTTTCATGCACAATCAGTGAAGCTTTACGCCTGTACTGCAGCACTTTAGACAAGCTGCAGGACTGACAAGCTAGGCTCTGTTAATGGAAGATGTACTAGACTTATAAATGCAACATTAAGCAGCTACCCTCACTCAGTTCACTCATCTCATCAATAAGTGAGCAATAGGTTGCAGCTTTACCTTACACATCTGGTCTGTGCATGTACAGAAATCATACGCAGGAGACTTTATCACTCATATTTGATTATTGATTATTTTCATATTTGGTCCCAAAGCCCCTGCCTAAAGCAACTCCACACATATTCACACAGCTGTACTGTACTGTCTTGGCAGCTGCTCAATTAGTAATGGTAAGTCAAAACACACACACACACACACACACACACACACACACACACACACACACACACACACACACACACACACTCAGAGGCTGAAATAAAACTACAATTCAAGGTTACAAAGATTTACCCTCATCACAAATTCAGCTGGCCTAGTGCAAGATATAGAGAGCTTAACTTATAACTACATACTCATTTCCATAATAGTGAGTCGATGAAACATCAGGTAATTTACTGCCTGCCCCTAAGGTTAAATCAGATTAGAGGCAGTGAAGTAAACATTACAATGGCTGCAGAGTGGCTGCAATGAATCTAGTTTCTCTGGTTGTACAGTGGAGTTGTGCTTTAGCTTCTGAACAGGCGGCAGCTGGTAAAGTTTTATCTTTTTTAATGTCATCAAACACCTTAGTATCACCTCTCAGTATCTGTGATTTGTATTAGCCAACATAATATGTAAGCCTTAATTTGAAGAAAGATGACTATGTGTAAATTTGCCTGTAGAAAGATATGAAAATATTTACATTTGTAAGATAAAATAGACATGAGGCAATGATAACGTTCAGCAATCAACAATTTAACACTGAACTAATGGATTAAACATTTCTTTGTGTGTTTTGTGCCATTTTCCGTCTTTATCCTTCCACTTAATGAGGTGTTCTGATCTTAATCCAGCCTCAGAGAGCATCAAAACTGCAACAACCGCATTTGAACAACAGGTGTTGGCAACAGGGCACAGTGTTAAATGTGTATTGTAGAAGTAGTTTGTACCTGTCTCGGTACATGCAAACCTAGGACTCGTTAGGATCGCGACCAAATGGATGACCGACATTTTTGCTGCACTGTTCAAAGTATGAGAGGGGTTTGGCAGAGGAGAGGGCTTAGAGACCTCGGTGATTGCAGAGGGAAGGCACAGACTCATCAGATGTGACATTGTGACGTAGATGTTGTTCATTCTTTACACTAATGATGTCGACTGCCTAAGCTCTCTCTTGACTATGGCAAGAATCTTGCAATAATCTTTCATCCTCTTAAGCGAGGAGAAACTTTGCCTCAGAGAGTTCCTAAGATAGATCTCCATTCATACCATGTAAGATTATCCACCATGACTTTGCAAAGATGAAAAACAGAAAGATTTTGAGGCAAGTTGTTAAAAAGAAGAGAAGAGGAAATGAAGAAGTCACTGAGGTCCTTTCATAGAGCTTTCATATGATGTAAGTTGACTCCCATCAGACAAAGAGAAAAAAATACCATTGAATGAAATGTGGAGGTGATGGAAAACATTATGAGCAAAATGTTTTTCCCTAATATTTGATCCTTGGTCTTTTGTCATATTTCAAGGTATTTAACTCCAATTTCTGTGAGTGAGGAGTTTCTGCAAGGCTGCACCAAGAGCAGATTTCTCAGTGGTATGGGCGAGCCAATTGTGTCAATGTAAACCCCTCTTTTCTGACTGCTGGCAGGACTGTTGATCACACTTGCTATTCTCAGCTTCACATTTTCTGCTCATTAGACATTCTGCAGAACCGTTGAGGAGCAGCGGCAAAACCATAGAGCAGCAGAGTCCTGATGTATTCATGGGCAGCACGTAGCAGGTTTGGTTTTGATTGGCTGAATACACATCAAGAGTTTTGAATTTATGAGTATGAATATCTTCCTTTACTCCTCACAACACTGTACCATTGCAGATGCCATGAATTAGTCATCCCCAATCTCGTTTTGTCTGATGAGCTCCTACATCAACACCACCACACCACCCATCATGTTACAAATGTGTTCATTTAAAGTGATTTTAAACCATTTATTATTTGACACTCTTGATTATATTAAGTGGAATATTGTTACAATATCCACAATATCCATCCACCCATTTTAGCTTTCCCACACTATCCATTAATCCATCACTTTTAGGTAGCTATTTCCATCCACTCATTTTAGCTTTCTTACTCTAGCCATTAATCCATTACTTTTAGCTAACTGTTTCATTACCTTCAGCTGTTTGAAACATTGAAACACTACTTATAGCTTTGTCAGAATTTCCTCATTACTTGTGGGCTAGCTATATATTTCATCTATTTATCTCCTAGCCTATTGCTTTTAGCTAACTGTTTAGACTTATTCTAACCCTTCATCGTCATGGTCACGATAATAAACACGGTTAAGATTGTGGAACATTGTGGATGAAAGAAGAAATGTTGACTGTCAGTTTCCGTCCACCTCAACCATCTACTAATATAAACTAATTCACTGTGTTTACTCTAACACATGGAATGTCATATAATCATTGTCACTGAATTGGTTGTCTACTGTTGTACTTGCGTTTTCATTATTGCTTCCAGCTATTGTTTCAAAGCCCACCTCCTTATCTTCAACCTTTGAATTGTGTTTAGCTCGCTTCACCTACACACATAGTGAGGACAAAAAAGCAAGCCACTGAAAGCTATACTCAAATTAACATTAGCTTCTTTTTCACGGCCATGTGGGCTTAATGTCTGTTTGATCCTATATCATAAATGTAATGCTGTTTGGCAGCTGAAAATCAAACCTGGGCTCTCAGTGCTAACCAGCACCTGAGTACATTTTAAAATTACATGGCAGTAATTCAAAATGAATTGCCATATACTGATAAGGTAATACGTACATTCAGTGATGAATAAGCTGACAACAAGTTTCAAGGCTGTTCAAGTAGATTTTCACGCTGTATGGAACTAAATAAAACACATGGTTACCATGTCAATGGGAGAGACACATTTAGAAATCTAAGGCAGCATGGTTTGCTTTGAAAAATTTTCAGCAATAATATTAAGAATATGTTTTGAAAGGTCAGAACATGCAAACTCAATAGTGTGGTCTTTGTAGAAAAGCAGGACAAAGGTTATTATTAGTGAACAATACTGACTACATCAGAAAAAATAAGCTTGACATCTTAGGGTTTTTAAAAAAAATACAGAATACATATTATTAAATTCCAAATCTAGATTTGTTTAGATTCTATCATAAGAGATTTTTTACAGTGTTTTTAATGCGGTTCTGCAAGGTTATCTTGAGCACTGGTTCCTCAGACTCAAATTTGGACCTGAATACTTGAGACTTACCTTTTGGTGATTCAGACTGTGACTTGACTCAACTACAGCAGGGTGCACACAGCATAAAAACATAGACTGGGACAGAATATAACTTACTTTAATTCCTTCCCCAGCTGTCGATAGTGTAATAAACCCTCAAACAGTGTGCGCTTGTTTTTTTTTCTGTGGTGGAAAAGCAGAGCAGTTCATTAGCCTTATCTCTGTTAAATTTGCCCACCATGAAACAGCACAGGGAAATCAAGGCTGGAATCCGTCAGACTTGGGCTTGGCAGGATTTGGTTGTTCATTAATTACATTTTGTAATGAGTATTTCTGTTGAACATGATTATTACACTGGTGGGATAATGGCTGTTTATTTTATGGCAACACAAAAATATCCATCTCAGGCCTTTCCTAATGTCATCGGATGAAACATTTAATCAAGCGTTCAGGGTTTGGAAAATAAGTTTTCTTTCTCCTTGAAACCTAGAGGCCCAGGGAATATCTATTAGGCTCTTAATTGATTGCAAACTCACGGTCTGAGCCACATCTCAATCTTTCCAGCTTTCTCTGGCGTTGCTCTCTTCCACCCTGGCTCGTTGGTGTGTACAGTGGGTCATAACATGCATGGCAATGGCTGGTTTCCTGGAGGGTGAAGAGCAATAATTTAATCATTAGACCAAGAAGGTTTGAAACAAGACCAATGAGTTCACAAGGGCACACACAAAATGAGGAGTTGTGGGTGCAAGTGTTTTCATGGAGAAGGATAAGCTTATCTTGTACAGGCATTCACAGGGAAGAAAAACAGATATTTAATAGCACTTACAGAAAAACTGTGTATATTGCTTTAAGTAGCTAAAAAAAAGGCAATGGAATATCTATAGACATTGCCCAGTGAGCATTTTTGTGATCAGCCAGTGAAAAGTCATTTGGGCGAGGGACGGGAAAGATGTGAGAGCAAAAATGATGAAAAGAGAAGTAAAGAAGAGGGGAGAGGGCATGAGATGAGGGAGAGAAAACCGGACGGAGATAAAGAGATGAACAAGGAGAAAGAAAAATGGCAAGAAAGCCAGAGAAAGTGAGAAAGTGATAAGAACTGACAGCAATAATTCATTATGTTAGTCACTGTAGACCCCCAACAGAGAAGTACGACACGCCTGTAGAGCCTGTGAACCTTGTCCCTCCAAACCATGGCCGATTAATAAACGTGTACTAAATTTAAGTTTAATACATTTTTTACTTTTATAATGCTTTAGCGTCTAAAGTAGTTATTTATATGAGTATTTATAGTAGTTATTTATTAATTAGGCTGCAAACAACACATCCCAAACAGACATACAGGTATGAAAACTGTTATAAAATTGCATTTTCATGTGGGACCACATCACCCATAAGAAGCTGTGCGAGAAAATAGATTTTCAGCACCATTTAAGTTTTACTACTAAGGCAAAATAGGATGGCAGGGTCTGGCCAAGCTGGCAAACAAACAAATTAAATAATTTAATAAATAATGAAAGCCGAGAGACATTTAGGATGCTCAGTCATGCAGACAGGAAATGTCAGTGATATAATAGAACTGTGCTGCTGCAAAAAATGGATCACGCTCTTTCATTTTCAGTCTGGGAAGGCAGACTGCTGATCTGTAGGTGGATTTCAGCGGCAAAACGAACTTGAAATTTGTCATAGTCTCTCACAGCTGTGTTGTGTGTCACAGTCAATAGTGTCAGTGAAGTCTTTATTTCCAGAACACCGGCCCCGGTGCCTCCCATCTCATCCCTTTATTTGTTTAAGCGTAAAAAAAAACCAACACTGGAAAACGTCATGTTGTCGCTGTGTATTTATGGTGAGCTGATGTACCGCTTCAAAGTGTTTGTAAACATTTGGAAATTTAAATGAATCACGATTAAATATTAATGAATTATGAATCTTGCTTTGTTCGAAGACATTTTGCTGCTATGAATACTGAAGTGCCTTCTGCAGGTTTGCAAGTTAATGCTGAAATCTCTATATTTTGCGCGTTTGTTTTTTATATTTCCAAACTGAAGTTATTGGTCTGAAAATGCTTATTCTATCTTAATCCTTTTCAGGGTCATGGGGGCATCAACCCACTCCACTATACAATAGGGAGGAGACACAGTCTAGACTGATACTTACATGAACAATTTACTCTATACATCTCCAACCCACCTGACCTCTATGTGTTTTGAAAGGAGGAAAATATATCACGGGAACACAGGAGAACACGCAGTCTCATTAAAGTTTCATCTGATCTGGTCTATCAAGGTGATTTGGCTCGTACATTACATCTCTCTGCAGGGCACAAGATCTCTTGTGTGCTTCGCCAGGACGGTGCAGCTCTGGTGAATACACTGTGAAAGAAGTGTGCCTCTCACAGGTCAGTGACCCAGCTCCGGGCAATGGCAGCAAGTTCAGTCGGTGATGCAGGGCAGCATGAGGTCTGCTGCAAAATGTTATAGCTGCTTGTGCTCTGTGGACATGGCCCACCAGGAGACTGAGCCATGAGCCAAGCTCCTCCCAGGCCTTGGTGAGGAAATCTAAGGCCAGACAGAGAGTCAGGCATTTCTGTGAATCCACAGACAGATGGATGGTGAAAAAGGGAGGAACATTTTCAACATTTTGCTGCCCAGACTTTCTACAGGGTTCATATATAATTCTGATCAGTGACATGTTTGTTGTCAAAGTTTTGTCTTTAAATAGCTTTCTGGACAAACCAAGCTCTGTTTACCTCTATAAATAATTAGCCTTAGAAAATTTACAGTCCCACAAAATAAGATCTATCAGATCAGAGGTAATCAGTACAAATGAAATTCATGAATTTCCCCTAGGGGATAAATAAAGTATCTATCTATCTACGTATCTATCTATCTATCTGTCTATCTATCTATCTATCTATCTATCTATCTATCCATCCATCTATCTAAGCAGCTTGACATGTTTCAAACATACAGTGTATACTCGCCTGTATATTTTGTCATTCACCAGATATTTTTTATTTTTCACACAAACATATGGGACTTCCATGTATAGGCCTATATACTGCAATTATGCCAATTTAGTCTTAAGAATTCTTGTACATCACTGACTCCTATACCACATAAAAAATTGTACAATTGAAAGTTTATTTGAGGACCTTGAACCCAAGTTTCAGTTCTGAACGTAATGATACTCTGAATACTGCAGTACACACATTTTCATAATAGTCAAACACTATTTACGTGAATGCACTGGCAGGAACTCTCTATTGACCTCAAGCAGTTTTCATCCGAGGTGTATCACACGTTCATCACTCAGCTAGTCTTACAGATTAAAAAGAATTTGTTCCTGTGTTTCGAACATTTTGAGACAAGGTCAGAAGAACCTGAAAACAGGATTCCAACAAGGGTTTGGTACAATGGAGTGACTGTGCTTAGAACAAAGCTAGAGAGAAAGTCTGGAGAATATCTAATGCAGCCAGTGACTAAGTCTAACAAAAATTATTCATGTGTATTTACTTGTAGTTGTCACCTTTGTCAGGTCAAATCACATCCATAAATTAAATAATGAAACACTGGCATTTTGCCCTCTAATGAAAGCAAGGAGGGAATATTTTCAACACTATCCTTGTTTTGCATACAAACAAAACACTGAGGGCTTTTGAGATTTATCAGATTTGCAATGATTCAGTCAGTAAAAGCCAAGAGAAATGATATTTGCAACATAAAGCAAATGAAGGAACTGCATCCAGGACTGGCATTTGGTTGGAAATGCATTACTTATGCCACTCAAAACACAGTATATTCTCTGTATATGTATATATATTCACTTATATATATTCACTTGTAGTGTTACTTCCTGGAATAGAGGCACACATTTAAAGTGCACAATCTTGGTTTACTGCTTTTGAAAAGAAAAGTGTTTTTGGACAGATGAATAACTTTCCTCACACTAAAAATGGACTTGTTTGGGATTAATGTGCATACATCAGTTTGATGCAATAAACTTAAAGAATTTAACAGAGACAGCGAAGAGATGCTATTGATTTATTGGACACATTTTCTTGGCTTCTACCGGAAGAGTCAATTAGGATGTGTATGAAACAGACTGCAAAGGAACTAATATGGTAAAATGTAAAGAAATGCAGCGACAAATAAGTGGAACGCCTAATTATTCAGTGTTGTAATTAGAGTATACTGACTTTGACTCATTACCCTGTTTGCCCCAATGAAACAATAAGCTGAAACTGCTGCTTGAATCAAGGTCTATAATGGGGTTCAGTCTGCTTTCACTATCTGTAGTGTAAACATGTCTTTTGGAAATTAAAAAACAATACATGATGGACCATACTATTGCACACTGTAATATCATACCGTACCAGAGACCATTAGCACCTGACTTAGTAATTAAAACGCTTTGTTAAAACAATGAAAAGACTATTTTTGAAGTCATCAAGGTCATGCCCTCAGTTAATTTACAAGTTCATGTTTGTTCAGCATCTCTCACACAAAGATTCATTTAGGGAGGGAATGGTCGGTGTCTTATAACTGTAAGACATAATGAAATTCCCAAGCCTGACTCATGCAGTGTATTTACATCGTAAAATTCATCATAATTATCCTACCAAATTAAGGGGGGGGGGGGGGGGGGACGACGACGACGACACCCCAGCCTCACTTCTCCTCCTCTCATCCCCACTGAGTGTCTTCACCTCGGCTTTCTGACGCCACACACACCTGGAAGAAAGCATATGATTAATGTAGGGTGCACACACAGTCGGCTACAAACAGCATGGTGTCTATCAGGGTAGTTTATTGTTCATGCTTGGTTCCAAGGTTGCACCTATTTAAACGCGTTCTTAATATGCATTTCACAGTTTCAAAAATAAATAAATATTTACACTGGGTCCAAGGTAGCAAGCGTCCTGTTGCACTCCTTGCTGCAGTTTGTTATGATGCCCCCTGATTATCGGCTGCAGTGTTTGCTATTATCAAACACCACACTGTTTCCTGGCAGAGCAGTTTCCATTGAATGGTCTTTCAATATGATGTGTCTGCAAAGGTTGCTTAGGAAAGGCTACAAGTTGAAGTCGCCGAGATTTAGACGCAAGACAAACCGGTTTGGGCTGTCTGCCCAGCTCTCCTCCGTTTGTTCGTTTCATCTAATGCAGGGGGCAGCCGGGGACAACATATTTCAGTCGTTGAAGACCGCAAAAAGCTAAATAAAAGAGAATCTTCCCAACTAATTTGAATATAAAATCTATATCAGGAAAAGGAAATATTATCAAAAGATAATATTTTAAATTACCACAGCTGAGAACTTTAGGAATCGCTATATTCTGTTCACTGCACCGCCCAACATGTCATATTTCCAGACAACCCTCACAGCTTAAACACACGCACCCCGCCATGCGTTTCGGACGTGACGTCAACGCGCTGCAATTCAAACTTCAGGAAACGAAAGCGTCCGGTTGGTAAACGGTCTTGTTGTCACAAACAGACTATATATCAGAGGATATCTTCAATTCGCTTCTTCTGTGAGTCTTAAACATTTGATGTTTATGTGTGCCAGTAAATTTCTTAATTTTTTTTTCATAGTATTACTTCAAATTGGACAGAGGGAAATTT